ACATATTATATTCTACACATTCTATATTTGTGCTAAGAATATTAAGATACTAAAGCTAAATGTTTTTGCTATCAGATATCATTGGTCAGGTCGTCGATGTTGGCGAAATGAAAACTCACGACTTCAATAACAAAATTATGAAGAAACTGGAATTTGAACTAAGAAACACAAAGTCGTATTACCTTTTTTCTCTATTTCTTTTATTATCTAACAAAAAGATTACTGATTCCCCTGATTTTTTACTGCTTTGCAGTGATGAACGTTTGGCTGGTACGTTCTGGGGAAGATTTGCTGAAACCCTTATGGCCGCATGTGAAAACAGTGGTGATAAGAAGGTTATCTGTCTGATGCGTTTCGCTAAGATCACTACGTTTAAAGGTTTGCACATTATCGACGACTATAACTTTATTCTTGCCGACTCATTATAATACCTTATTTTGTCTTCCATAGGTGTACGATCAATTTCGAATGCTTTTGATATGTCTTTGCTGTTGATTGATCCCGACTATCCAGAGGCTTTTGAGTTTGTACAAAAGTGAGTTTGTATTGCTAATGATGTATGCTTCACTTTACTGTTTAGCGAATGTTAACATCATAAATATACTTACCAAATTTTTTTCTAGCCTGCCACAAGATGGTCTAGCTTTGACACTTCAAGTGCATGTTCCAAAAGAACAAAATGTTGTCAAAAAGGTTGAACATTACAACAGGTTCCCCCGTAATACCATTCAAGAGCTTCTCCATTCACCTGAGGTTGGTATATACTATTCATTCATAGATATACGGCTATGTTTATGTCTTTATTTACTTCTCTAACATTTCTTTTTAAAAAATTCTAATAGGTTGGCAAATTTAAGATAATGTGTACAATCTTCGCCATTGATACCGACTTTTCTTGGTACTACTTCAGCTATCTAAAATGTAACAAGACAACATATGTGGTACCAAAAGTGGAGGATGATGTCGTCAAAAAAGTTAAGCAAACATTTTTCTGGTGTGGGAATTGTAGAGAAAATACTACCCGAGTTGTTCCAAGGTAATTGATTATATATATATATATATATATATATGTAAAAGAGACATATATTTTAGATATATGTTTGAATTGTAAAAACAGAGTCATTACATATTTATTTTCCCTCATTTTAGATACAAGTTGATCCTCCGTGTCATGGATTCCACTGGCGAAACTAAGGTCATGCTGTTCGAAAAACATGCCACACAGGTCGTATGTTGCTCTGCTTTTAATCTCTTGGAAGGACATTTTGATGAGGTATGCAGATAGATAAACTTTTTGTTGATTTTTTGTTCATTTTTTGCTTTACTATTCTGTATTAGTTATCAAATGAATTATTTACAGATTCAAGATACAACTAACATGCCTCAAGCTTTGAAGAATTTGGTTGGAAAAACATTTCAATTTCTCGTGTCCGTTGAAAAGGATAACATAAGTGATAGTAACGGTACCTATAAGGTATCCTACGCTTGGGTTGGTCTTGATTCTGATCATCTCGAAAAGGATAACATAAGTGAAGATTGCAGATTCTTTGTTCTCGTTATCTTTTTTTTTTCCGTTTGCTAAACCGACAAATAATAAACATCTGGGCTATGAATTTCCTATAAATTGGCCAAACTACAAAAATAATATGTCAGCTGTTGGGTTTCATAAGGGCTTTATTCATAACAATATCGATTTCAACACTTCACATACACATTTTCATATACACAATAAAACACACACGGTATTAATAATCAAATCAAAAAAATTTGTAAACGAATACTTTCCCCCGCGGTGCCACTGCGGGCTCTGACCTAGTTTACTCTATTAATTTTGTCTCTTCTTACATTCTACAATGAAAACGAACGACGTATTTATAGTGTAGTTGACTTAATGAGGAAACCACTTAGAGGAGAAGTCACTTGGGGGACAAATGACTTAGGTAACAAATAACTAGGGAGACAAGAGACTTAGGGAGGAAGTAGAAGATGGATAATCACAAAAGATTATCCATTTAATGTTAATACTCCCCTTTGATTATCCATAATTTACGTACTGTCTCGTTAAAAAAAACTTTATCATGGAAAAACTCATTGGGATAAAAACTAATGACAAAGGAAAAAGAGTACAATAACGCAATCTTCTCATGAAAAAAGATAAGTATAAGAACATCTTATCTTTGTAAATTTCGTAGATGGCGCATTCTGATACTGTGAATATGCTTTCTGAATGTTGACGTAGGAAGCACCTTTGTAAACAGATCTGCTGCGTTGTCACTTGAGCGAGTATACTGGATATTAACTTCTTTGTCTTTCTCGAGTTCTTGAGTGTAGGAGAAAAACTTTGGAGGGATATGCTTCGTTATGTCGCTCTTGATATAATCTTCTTTGATTTGGGTGACAGCATGCAGAATTGTCTTCGAATAATTTTGTCGGCTCTTTACTTGTAAATATTGCACTTGCTTCTTGTATGTGGTTGATCATATCTGAGCCACATGCATTATCTGCAGGCTTCATGAAGCGCAATCATTTCTGCATGGTTTGAAGAGATGGTGACCAAAGTCTGTTTCTGAGAACGCCACGAGATTACAATTCCTTCAATTGTGAAAGCGTATCTAGTTTGGAATCGAGATTTATGCGGATCCGATAGACATTGATATGTCTATAATTTACTTGTTTTGAGCATCCATTTTTCATCATTTTAAGCATTTTTTAATCACTGTTTCATATCATTCTTTATCGTTTGTGCATACTTTGCATACTTTTCCATACATGTTGCATATTGGAGTTGTTTTCAGGTACTTTGGAGCTGTTGGTGTGAAAATTGGGGAGAAGCAAAACAGAAGCACAAGTCACTCAACCATGTTGATCGAGTATACTCAGCAGGGAGCTTCACTCAACACTCGACCATGTCAGTTCAAATACCACTCGACCAAACACTCGACCATGTCAAGTCAAACACCACTCGATCACTACTCGACCAAACACTCGACCACAACACTCATTAGATACTCGATCACATGCATCAAACTCTTCTCGATTCCGCACTCATCAAGACAACTTGAGCATAAGGAAGAGAAAGAAGAAGGAGCAACCACTCGATCACATCTACCAACGGGTTACTCAATCACATCACAAGCAGAGCAAGAGTCTTAAAGGAGCCAGCTTTACTCGACCTCCTCTACTCAATTGCATGGGTCGAGTGGTTTACTAAACCGCCTTAGATTTTCTGTCGTTTTATGTTTTAGGGTTTTCTACTATTTGCTATAAATAGGTCTATTTTCTTTGCCCAGAAAACTTAAGCTTTATCCGCTGAACAATTAGTTTTTCCAGAAATTTATAATCCAAATTACTCTTAATCTATTCAGTTTTTGCATTTAAGTTCCTCTTTAAAGTTGTTTATCTTGTTGAGATCTGTAAGTTGTGATGTTTTTAGAGGTTTTTGGGTTTGTATTCTTGATTATGTTTCTTGAGTAGTAATTAGGGTTCTTAAGAATGGGTTAGGATAGTTTAGAATCCTTAATCTGTCAGGTGGTTAAGCTTTGATTGGTTAGATCCCTTCTGGATTAGTTGTTCTTAATGCTAATTGCTTTCTGATCAACTGGAATTTGAGCCCAGGCATTTACACACCCAGAAGGTGTTATGCCTGAACCGCTAATCCCAGAGATTCGTGTCTTTGTACCAAGATGTTGGTTACAGAGTGCGTTTTAGCTTTAACTTGTTGATTGGTAATGCCTGTTACGTTAGCTTTTGTCAATGGTAATTGAGTCTGAACTAGCTTAGATTGAGGGTCTCTGTTACGGAAGTACTTTAATATGTTATTGAACTTGTTGTCTAGGGATATTTTTACTGAGCATGTTAACCACCTGATATACTAAGGAGACTTTTCTACTCGATTACCCAATCCTTAGGGATTTTTCATCCATTTGATTTCTCTGCTTACATTCTTGTTCTTTGCTTGTTCTATTGCATGTTGTTGAGTTTTTGCATTTTCTGACTGTTTTACATCATACTTGACCACACCCAATGTCTGGTAACAGACTTTGCAGTCAAGTATAGTTGTTGCATTTTCTGTCTGTTTTCACACCATACTCGATCACATCCAGTGTCTGGCAAACAGACAGTGTGATCGAGTACAAGGTTGTTTTCTGCTAGATTTTTTGTTTTCTGTATGATCACTCAGGACTGTTAGAAAAACCAAAACCTGTTTATACTTGGCTTGACTTGGTGACATCTGATCACATCTCGATTGATAGCATCACACCTAAATGGATTGACACCTTAAATGCAATGACATGATAATGCTTTAAGGAATTGAGAACTAGTTAAAATCCTACTATCAATGGGGCGCCGTTGCCATTTGGGTATTTGTTTGTTACATTTGAGATTTCAGACTTGTTTAGATCAAGTTCTATTTCAACTTTCACTTTAGTTATTAACTTTGTGTTATTCTGTTTGTCTTTGTGATTCAGGTACAACTCCGTTTTATGCAAACTCGATCAAAAGGCAATCAAAACCTCTTTTTAAACAACAAAATTGACCGCTTAGCAAGAGAACTAAGGGAACGGAGAGACACAGTAGATGTTGCGCACCCTCATCCTATACGAATGGCTGATTAACAAGATAAGCAAGGGCTGCCTGAAAATATAGGCACTGGAGATGCACCAAGAAATCACCGTCATAGGCAAGGGATTATGCTCTCTGCTGTTCAGAACAACAACTTCGAGATTAAAAATGGTATAATCTCGATGATTCATGGAAACAAGTTCAACGGCCTACCAATGGAAGACCCACTCGATCACCTGGACGAATTTTATAGGCTATGCAGCCTCACCAAGATAAATAGAGTCAGTGAAGATGGCTTCAAGATCAGAGTGTTCCCATTCTCTTTTGGAGACAAAGCTCATGTATGGGAGAGGACTCTACCACAAGGATCCATCACATCCTGGGATGAGTGCAAGAAAGCCTTTCTTATAAAATTCTTCTGCAATGCAAGGACTGCAAGACTCAGGAATGAGATATCTGGTTTTGCCCAAAAGAATGGAGAAAGCTTCTGTGAAGCTTGGGAGCGCTTCAAGAGTTACACCAATCAGTGCCCTCATCATAGCTTCAGCAAAGCCTCACTTCTTAGCACTCTTTACAGAGGAGCTCTCCCACAGATAAGAATGCTTCTAAATACTGCAAGCAATGGCAACTTTTAAAACAAAGATGTTGATGGAGGTTAGAAACTAGTGGAGAACCTGGCTTAATCTAATGGAAACTACAATGAGGACTACGACAGAACCACCAGAGGAACTACTGACTCCGATGAGAAACACAAGAAAGGGATTAAAGCTCTGGATGAGAAACTTGACAGGCTTCTCCTTGGCCAGCAGAAGCAAGTCCATTTCTTGGTTGACGACGAACAGTTTCAAGTCCAAGATGGGGAGGAAAACCAGTTAGAAGAGATAAGCTACATCAACAATCAAGGTGGCTACGAAGGGTACAACAACTTTAAGACTAATAACCCCAACCTGTCTTATCGCAGTACCAACGTAGCTAATCCACAGGATCAAGTGTATCCCTCACAACAACAGCAGAGCCATAACAAACCTTTTGTTCCTTACAACCAAGGTTTTGTTCCCAAGCAGCAATTCCAAGGCGGCTACCAGCAGTAGCAACCACCACCTGGGTTTACACCTTAGCAACACCAAGGTCCTACTGCTCCTGACTCCGATCTGAAGCAAATGCTACAACAACTTCTCCAAGGAAAAGCATCTAGTTCAATGGAGATTGCTAAGAAGATGATTGACATACACAACAAGTTGGTTTTCAGCTATAATGATCTAAATGTCAAGGTGGAAGCACTGAACTCCAAGATACGGTACTTAGAAGGCCAAACCTCTTCTACTTGTACTCCAAAACCTACTGGCCAACTTCTAGGAAAAGCAATATAGAATCCTAAGGACTATGCTCAGGCTCATGCTATCACCTTATGTAGTGGATAAGAAATTCCCACCAGAGAAAGACCTAAGGCAGTCATTGAGGACAGTGCAGACCAAGATGGGCAGGATTTCAGTTTCAATGAAGATCAAATTGACAAACCAACTGAAGTACTCGAGCCCATACTCGATGGTGATACTCGACCAACAAATCCAGTAACACCATCCACTACTCTAAAACCAGTTGCTTTTAAAAACAAGGAGAAATTCTTCGTTCCTCCTCCTTACAAGCCCTCACTTCTATTTCCTTATCAATACAAGAAAGTGTTGGCAGATAAGGATAGAAAAATGTTTGCCAAACACATCAAAGAAATTGAAATCAAGATGCCTCTTATCGATGCTCTTGTACTTATTCTGGATTCCCACCAGTTCCTGAAAGATTTGATAATGGAGAGAATTCAAGAAGTGTAGGAAATGGTAGTATTGAGTCATGAATGCAGTGCCATTATATAGAGGAAGATCATTGTGAAGAAGCTTGGCGATCCTGGTTCATTCACTCTGCCATGTTCCTTAGGACCATTGGTTTTTAATAAATGTCTTTGTGATTTAGGAGCATTTGTAAGTCTCATGCCACTCTCTGTTGCTAAGAGATTGGGGTCTACTCAATACAAATCCTGCAACATTTCTCTTATTCTAGCTGACAGGTTAGTAAGGATCCTTCATGGGCTAATAGAAGACTTACCAATCCGAATAGGAGTTGTGGAGATTCCTACCGACTTTGTAATGCTTGAAATGGATGAAAAACCCAAAGACCCTTTGATTATGGGGAGACCTTTCTTAGCAACTGCTGGAGCATTGATATCAGGAAGGGGAAGATTGATCTAAACCTTGGCAAAGACTTGGAAGCCTACTATAGAAGGTTAGCTCTTTTGGATTGAAAAAAATGGATTAGTTAGTTGATGATATAAAAGGAATTTCACCTAGTTTATGCACCCATCGCATTCATCTTGAAAATGAATCTTACTCTAGGATTGAACCTCAAAGGAGATTGAATCCTAATCTGAAATAAGTTGTGAAGAAGAAGATACTTAAACTATTGGAAGCAGGTATAATCTACCCTATTTTTGATAGCACTTGGGTATCTCCTGTTCATTGTGTCCTTAAGAAAGGAGGTATGACAGTTATTAAGAATGATAAAGGTGAGCTCATACCCACTAGAATTATAACCGGTCATAGAATGTGCATTGATTATAGAAAGTTGAATGCTGCATCTAGGAAATATCATTTTCCACTTCCATTTATTAACCAAATGCTAAAAAGATTGGCTAATCACCCTTACTACTGCTTCTTAGATGGTCATAGTGGATTTTTCCAAATACCTATTCATCCTAATGACCAAGAAAAAACCACATTCACATGCCCATATAGAACCTTTGCATATAGAAGAATGCATTTTGGGCTTTGTAATGCACTAGCCACATTTTAGCAGTGCATGACCTCTATCTTCTCGGATTTAGTTGAGGAGATGGTTGAGGTATTCATGGATGTATTTTCCATGTATGGCTCTTCTTTCTCCTCTTGTTTGTCAAATTTGTGCAGGGTGCTTTCAAAGTGTGAGGAGACAAACCTGGTGCTCAATTGGGAAAAATGTCACTTCATGGCCATAGAAGGCATAATGTTGGGGCACAAGATCTCAGACAAAGGTATAGAGGTTGATAAGACAAAGATTGAGGTTATGGTGCAGCTGCAACCACCAAAAAGTGTCAAGGATGTAAGAAGTTTTCTGGGTCATGCGGGGTTCTACAGAAGGTTCATCAAAGACTTCTCCAAACTGGCAAGACTAATGACAAGGCTGCTTTGTAAGGAAACATAGTTTGATTTTGATGAAGAGTGCCTTAAAGCTTTTCAACTCATCAAGGAAGCTCTGATCTCAGCTCCAATAGTCCAAGCTCCCAACTGGGATTATCCATTCGAAATCATGTATGATGCTTCAGACTACGCAGTAGGAGCAGTCTTGGGACAGAAGATCGATAAGAAGCTTCATGTCATCTATTATGCAAGTAGAACAATGGATGATGCTCAGGTGAAGTATGCTATAACAGAGAAGGAGTTATTGGCAGTGGTCTTTGCATTCAAAATGTTTAGAAGCTACTTGGTTGGTTCTAAAGTTATAGTCTACACGGATCATTTAACCTTGAGGCACATCTATGCCAAGAAAGACACCAAACCGAGGTTGCTGAGATGGATACTACTACTTCAAGAGTTTGATATGGAGATAGTAGATAAGAAGGGTATTAAAAATGGAGTAGCAGATCATTTGTCAAGGATGAGGATTGATGATAATTAAAATCCCCATTGATGATTAATTGCTTGAAGAACAGCTTATGGCTGTCAAATTTTTTGGTAAAGGCTTCAGCAGAAACGAGTTTTACAACCTATATGCTCTTTAAGAAGGAATGTCTCCCTAGTATGATGATCATGTCAACTACTTGGCTTATGGTGTGGAATCTCCAAACTTGACTAGTTATGAGAAGAAGAAGTTCTTCAGGGACATAAACCATTTCTACTAGGATGAGCCATATCTCTATACTCTTTGCAAAGACAAGATCTACAGAAGATGCATCTCAGAGGAACAAGTAGAAGGCATCTTACTTCATTGCCATGGTTCAGCCTTTGGTGGTCACTTTGCAACATTCAAGACAGTGTCTAAAATCCTGCAAGCAGGCTTCTGGTGGCCAACAATATTCAAAGACGCCCAAGAGTTCATATCAAGGTGTGACCCATGCCAAAGAAAAGGTAACATCAGCAGAAGAAATGAGATGCCACAGAATCCGATACTTGAAGTGGAGATCTTTGACGTCTGGGAATCAACTTTATGGGACCATTCCCTTCTTCTTATGGGAACAAATACATACTGGTAGCAGTGGAGTATGTGTCTAAGTGGGTAGAGGCCATCGCAAGCATGACAAATGATTCAAGGGTAGTTCTGAAGCTGTTTAAAACCATTATCTTCCTAAGGTTTGGTGTAGCTAGGGTGGTCATCAGTGATGGAGGAACACACTTCATCAACAAAGTTTTTGAGAACTTACTAAAGAAGCATGGAGTGAAGCATACGGTAGCCACTCCATATCATCCACAGACAAGTGGGCAGGTTAAGATCTCAAATTGAGAGATTAAAGCCATTTTAGAGAAAACAGTGGGGACAACTAGGAAAGACCAGTCTACAAAGCTTGATGCATTATGGGCATACATGACAGCTTTCAAGACCCCTATTGGTACAACTCCTTTCAACCTTCTCTATGAAAAATCTTGCCACTTGCCTGTTGAGCGAGGGCAGTACGTACCGCGGGTCAGTTCGTACGTACTGTGGGTTGGTCCGTACGGTCCACGGGATAATCCGCGATCGTAACGATCGGTTGGTCTCGACATTCCATCGTTCGAATGTTCTTGTAATGATACGAACTTCGAAAGCGTGAGGTTTCGAAATTCTTCGAGAAAAGCTTATGGAATCATTCCTTAAGGTTTCCTGAAACAGTTGTTGGGGTCGGATCCCACACACTTTCGGTAGGATCCACTTGGATCTGTCCACGTCATTATTACACAATAATCCTCTTGGATTTCTAAATACTTCATTGGACTTGACCGGTTGGGAGTTCGATTCAGTTTACTAAAGGAGTTCGATCTTTACCAGTACGGAGTTCGCTCTTATTCAACATACAGTTCACATAGAGAAAGACCGAAGCGAGGAGAATATTGTTCGAGGCTCGCGGTAGCATCAAGGCACGGGAGTTCGGAGTCAGCAAGAAAGAGTTCGGAAGGCCCACGCGAAGCCCAAGACAAGGTTCAAATTCAAGCCGTTTCGGTCAAAATGTAACTTATGTGATTAATGCGGATCAATATGATTACGAGTAGTAAATAGCCGCATTAATCATGTTTTTCTCTATAAAACAACCTCAAACGCCTGTGTTTGGGAGAGGACAATCTTTTACCTTTTACGATCAAAGCAATACAACATACTTTTTCTTTCACAATTTCATAAGGCTTTTTTACCATTTTATTCTTATCAAATTCTTTCACTTCATTTGGTTTCTTGGTTTATTTCCTGTTCGAATTCTTATTTTCATCTTTTGATTTTAGAGTTTTTCTCCACAAAAATACTTAAAGACAATCGAGTGTGAATCCGACATCC